TATTTTTTGTTTTATGTTTATTTGTTTGGACGTTTTTTGTATCTTCCCAATTTTCGGAAACCTTTTAAAAATGTTAACATAGTTGTTGTCAAATAAAAAAAGCATAGTCTTTCCATGCCCAGACTCGGGAATTTATTTATTTTAGTTTTTCCTTAATGCCCGAACATTTTTGAGCGAGAAAAATTATTTGATCAAAGAAAGTTTAAAAGTCTAGACTCTAGATAACTCTGGGTTAAAAAAAGGCAGGGATTGATTTTACTTTGTATCGATATGAACAGGACCTCCCTTGTAAATCAATAATTTTTTCCCCATTCTGACAAATATCCTGGTTTGGTTCATCTAAAAAAATTATTTAGCGAAAAAAAAAAAAAATAAAAAAAAAAAATAGGGATTTTTTTTTTTTATGAATGGACGAGTTAGTGTCCTTTTTATTTTAAAAACTTACTGAGTACAATGATGATTTTTTGTTGTAATAGTTTATGAATTTGTGTTCATGAAATTATTAAGGATGGTCATTAAAGTTGAAAAAAGCGCTAAATGCGGGTATCGTCGATTTTAACGCCTGAAACAATTTTCGTATTGCAAATGCTAAAAAAAATTACTTCTGCAGATTTCTTTCTCGTCTCATATTCTGATCGAATATTTTTAAGCGTTCCGTAAAACGTTTGAAAAAGTGAAATAATTTCAGATGTTAAAATTGACGATAGCCTTGTAAATAAATAAATGTTTTTTTATTATTTTAAAATAGATTTGAGAGTTTTATCTTCATCTAACAGCACAGATCAAACAATGAGGTGTTTTGTTCAAAACAAGTGGTAGTTTTTAAAAAGTAAACAATTAAACAATTTTGGGGTATATTTCCTCCCTCCACATAATGAAAAATGTTTTCGCAGAGAATGTAAAAAAATAGTTTTAAAACTTTTCAGCTTCAAGAATCTTCATAAAAATTAGATATCCTCTTTTAAAAAATCAAAGTAGAACAATTTAAATGTTGACTCATTTAAAAAGCCATTGATTGGAAATGGCTTCAATAAACCAAAAGGAAATGACGCAAAATGCCTTTTTAACGTATTAACTCAAATCCAAGTGATAGAAAAGAATTTTTTAAAAAGCTTAAAAAGATGAATTGAAATAAATAATAATAGACTTACCGTTGCGCATCAATTTGTTTAAATAAAAGATATGCTTTCTCTGACTCGCCTTATTTTCCGACGTAAAGACATTTAATTACTATTTCGAAAAAATCAGATTCGATGTTTGTTTGTTTTTATCAAAATGTAGGAACTTATTTATAGATCACGACTAACATCTTTTTCCGAAAGTCAATGATGTAGATATTTATTTACATTTGTAAATTTCTCATTTAGAAGACTGAAATCCTTCATTAGCCTTGTATTTTCCTTTAGTTTCCTTACCACGCCATTAGAAAATCCCTATTTGTAAGGGGCAGATAACTGCGTCGCGAAGCTCTCACCGGAGGTAGAACTCTCTAAATTGTGGAGTTTGTTTTTATTATTTGGATTCTTGCCGTGTTGACGGTCGAGTGAGTTGATTTGAAAGTGTAAGTATATTAAGAAAATGATTCCTATTAAAAAAAAAAGAAAAGAGAAGACGACATTGCATTTTTGCTATATTTTTCTCATTTACCTTGCCTTTGCTGTTGCACAAAAAGTCATTCGCTGTGGATAGATAAAGAAGTTTAAAACGTCGATCTGCACTAAGATTGATTTAAATGACTGTATCCCTCCTCTCTTGCTTTTTTAAATTTTCGTTTTTGTACAAAAAAAGAAAAGCACAGCAAAAAAGAGTGCGTCTAGAAAATATGGACTTTACCGTTATCCGTATTTATTCCACTTGTTATTTTTTTTTAGTCTTAGAACGAAAAAAAGCAAAAAAATAGGCAATTATTATGAAATTTCCATTTTTCAGCCGGTTCGAAGAAAAATTTAGCTTTACTTTTTTTTTCTTTACAGATGTTTTCATCACTTTAAGACTTAAAAATTCATTTTTGTCCTCTTTTTACGAGCTAATTTTATCTTAATATTTTTTTCAATAATAAACTTAAGCTGCTTCTTCAGCTAGTTTGATGACGATTGTTATGTGGAGCCTTTTAAAAATAAAGTTTTCTTATTTCTTTTTCCATTATTTTGATTTTTCGTGGCTCGACAGCATAATAAATTTAAATAAATTATTAAATTATTAACTGATAATTTTCTAAAATTGTCATTCAACTTTAGAAACATAAATCATGTTAAACGTAATTCTCTTTTTTTCTTTTAGCGTGTAACTAAAAGCACAATAAACACTAAACAGTAAACACAAATTTAGAATATTAAAATTATAAAATAAATTATTGTTTTATTCGTAATATTTTTTTATAAATTTCTGTTAAACGCCCTATAGAATGCAACTGTAATGTTCTTTTTTCAGTTTTCTTAATCTAATTTCGTTTTTTCTGCATATTAACTTTTTTTATTGTGATTTATTTCGTGTCCATAATTTTTGCCTAAAAATTTTATTTTTTATTCGCTCATTCCGTCTTAGTTTCTGTTTTTAGCTAAAAAAAAAAAGACAGAAATAATTCATTTTTTATAGCTATATGTTAGTTTTTTGTGTTAAAAAAAAATTAAGTAAATAATCGTGTTTTTTCTTCATAAATTGAAAAATAACACTTCTGACTGGAAAAAATGATGGTATTTTTTTAATCACGTCTAATATTCTATTTTATTCCAATTCTATTGTTCTGTGCATTAGATTTGATTTTTTTAAGGGTAGCCAAAATGAATTATCACATCAAGAATTAGTAAAAAAAAATTCACTCATCAGCAAATAGTCTCTTAATTTCGTTGAAATCTTTTGCTAAAATTAATTCATAACGGTAAACAAAAATATCATCAGATTGTTAGAAAAAATATTTTTAAACATAAAAAAAAATTCAGTTCTTTTTTTTAAAATTTTTTTTTACTAATCCCTTGGTTACTTAACCCGAACCGGTATTTTATTCATCTTAATTCAATAACTTATTTTGTTAGAATCTTTGAGAAACCAGTAACTGAACATTATTATTATTATTTATTGATCTCCATCTGTATTCGTCTAGAGCAGCATAAATTCGTAATAATAATCTCTGGCGAAACATTTATTTCAACGTCAAGGAATTGTTGGTTTTCAATTTTTCGTGTAGCAGGTCTGGCTAAAAAAAGAAAAAGCTGTAAGTTCTTTTATGCTAATGGAGTGTATTACTTAAGAAAAAAAAGAAGGAATATGGTGGAATCAAACCTAAATTTGGTAAGTGTTTCATGATTGTTGTGCCAAAAGGAACTCGAAAAACACCGGGAAAATTAGAGAAACAACATACTGCCAGTGTCATGTTCACATCGTGACAGATGATTAGCATACGACCGAACTAAAAAGTAAACAGATGCGAGGTAGAGAGAAGTGTACTGACGATGTTATTCATGAAGCTAAATTTATCAATGATCCCTGGGAAGTGGTGGTGGTGGGGGTGGACAAATCACATAAAAATACATTTTTGAACATATGTGGATGAGAGAAACTAAAAACACAAACAACGGAGGCAGACTGGTACATTCCGATCTCAGTTCCTTTCAGGCATCAATTCAGTAGTAGAACTATCATCGCGGTGTTTGCATCTATTTCTTCTCTACTTTAAAATATGTTAATTAATTTGTTAACTGTTATTGTTAGTTGTAAATAAATGTAATAAATAAATTTAAATTAAAAATGTATTTGTGTTGGAATGCGTATGTTTAAGAAGGTTGACCATACACAGTTTTTCATGGTCGACAATAATTTAGGCTGCTAAAAAAAACAAAAAAACTCTACCTTTTTAACGACTTAAATAATTTCTGCAAACCAAACACATAATTACCGCCCTTTGATTTTTTAACTCGCCTCATATTCTGAAACCACCTTTGGATTTCAATTTCAAGTCTTGCATCAGGAATCAAACGAAAAACAGCATCAGTATTTTTTTATTATTATTTGACTACGCAACAGTGAGTCTCTGACAAAAACAAAACACGGATATATTTTTTTCTACATTGTAATGTTGGTTTTCTAAAGTCTTTTTTTAATTCTCTGATATGAGGCGAGGTAAGAAAACGTAAGGGAGGTAATTCAATGTTTTGCATGCAGAAATCGCATAGAGAGTTAAAAACTCGGCAATGAATTAAATTAAATACAATTAAAATTTACCGGCTCGTTTATTTATGAATGTACAGACAAAAAAAAGAAAACTTAGCCGACGCGTTTCGTCCTCTGAAGAACTTTATCAAGTCAAATGCAAGGATTTTATTTTGTAACAAATAAGAACAAAAATGTTATTGGTTTTTCAAAAATTTTATAATGCTCGTATTCAAGTTAGCTGAAAAGCCTAAGTAAACTATGGAGGATACCAAGTGACATAATTCAATGTTTAATAAGTGAAAGTGAGTAAATGATGTTCTTGAAAAAAAATTTTTAATGCAAATTAGTATTTATTTTAATTTGGGATTAATTTATCTGTTATATATTTTAAAATAACATGAGGTTATAAATTTAACTGTTTACTTTTAATTTTTAACATTTTTATAGTTGCGTGTGTTAGCTTGGGAAAGTAGTAATTCTTTCAAGGATGGAGATATTTGAAAAATATCCGGGGCACATGTATATTTTAATAAGATTTGATGGTGGCACTTTTGAGAATTTTCTGTCTAAGTAAATTACTTTCTCTTTTAATAAGTGTGGCATTCTTTAGATCAAAGTTGTAGTTGAATTTATTTCTTTGTATAACTAATGCATTTGATAAATTGTTGTGTATAAGATCCCTTTTGTGTTCATAGATATGTTTTTGTTTTTTTTGTTTTTTTTTAATTTCTGCTAGTTTTCCCTAATGTATTATGAAGAGCGGTTCTAGCAATTTATTTTTTACTCTTTATTTATCTATTTTCTTTATTAGGAATCATTATTGTGCCATGTTGGATTAACAAATTTTAAAGATGCCGGGGCGGTTAAAAGTGAAGGTAGTGGCAGCTAGGGATTTGCCCATAATGGACCGAGCAAGTGACCTTACAGATGCCTTTGTGGAGGTTTGTATTTCTTTTGTTATGGGGATATATTTTTTGTTGCTTTCTTATTTATCCTCAAAAACTTATATCTCTTAATGATTGAACTTTTATTGTTTCCAATTTTGTGAGAATACCTCACTCTCTGGCAGGTTGCATCAGGGTGTGTGTTGGATTCAACCAGGAACATACTCATCCATTTTGTGATTATTGGCCTAAGTGAACTTTGATCCAAGTCAGATGGTTTCTCTGCCTTGTCAGAATATGTTACTAAAAAGCCTAATGATTTATTCTTCTTACACAGCCTTGCTAGTGCTGTTTGAAATTAAGTGAAGCTTTCAGGATATCAAGTGGTGTGCATATAAAAATATCCAAAATATGCAAGCTCAAGTGTCTACTCGCCCTTTATTATTAACAATAATTCAAACCGCCTCTACTCCTGTTCAGCACATTAGAGTTCTGATCAGTAGTTTGCCATTCTGGGCCAGCCTACACATTCTGTAACACTGTACCACCATCCCTGAATTGGCATTGGATAATGGACACCTGAAAAGAGGGTATTGGCTGGAATGTTATTTCTATAAAAACAGCTATAACAATCAACAATGAGAACAATTTTGAATAAATTGGATGAATGAAGAAAAAAAATTGTTTTAATTTTTAAAACAAGAACTGCTAATAAATTGAGTGGATGTTTTGATGGTGTTTCATGGAAAGACAAATCAATGAGCTGAATTAAATTTTTTTATTAACATTCACAAATATCTTTTATCTTCTTCAAAAATAGCAAAAAGCAGTATATCCTTTTCTTATCAACACAAATATCCTTGAAAAGGTATAGATCCTTCTCTTCTTCAATCTATGGGTTAAATAGCAAAGCAGTTTATCCTTGGAAAAGGTATAGAGATCTCTTCTTCAAGGAGAATTAACACAAATATCTTGGAAAAGGTATAGATCCTTCTCTTCTTCAATCTATGGGTTAAATAGCAAAGCAGTCTGTGCTCCTTTACGACTTGTCAACACAAATATCCTTGGAAAAGGTATAGATCCTCTTCTTCAATCTATGGGTTAAAAGCAAACAGTCTGTACTTATCAATTGGAAAGTATAGATCCTTCTCTTCTTCAATCTATGGGTTAAATAGCAAAGCAGTCTGTGGTGCAAAGCAAAGTCAGTCTGTGGATTTATCAACACAAATATCCTTGGAAAAGGTATAGATCCTTCTCTTCTTCAATCTATGGGTTAAATAGCAAAGCAGTCTGTGCTCCCTTTCGACTTATCAACACAAATATCCTTGGAAAAGGTATAGATCCTTCCTTCTTCAATCTATGGGTTAAATAGCAAAAGCAGTCTGTGCCCCTTTCGACTTATCAACACAAATATCCTTCCAAGATCCTTCTCTTCTTCAATCTATGGGTTAAATAGCAAAGCAGTCTGTGCCCCTTTACGACTTATCAACACAAATATCCTTGAAAAGGTATAGATCCTTCTTCTTCAATCTATGGGTGACTTATCAACACAAATATCCTTGGAAAAGGTATAGATCCTTCTCTTCTTCAATTGTTCAGAGTCTGTGCTCCCTTTCGACTATCAACACAAATATCCTTGGAAAAGGTATAGATCCTTCTCTTCTTCAATCTATGGGTTAAATAGCAAAAGCAGTCTGTGCTCCCTTTCTTCTTATCAACACAAATATCCTTGGAAAATATAGATCCTTCTCTTCTTCAATCTATGGGTTAAATAGCAAAGCAGTCTGTGCTTTGAAATAATGGAAAAGGTATAGATCCTTCTCTTCTTCAATCTATGGGTTAAATAGCAAAGCAGGCTGTGCACTTATCGACACAAATATCCTTGGAAAAGGTATAGATCTTCTTCTTCTTCAATCTATGGGTTAAATAGTCAGTCTGTACTCCCTTTACGACTTATCAACACAAATATCCTTTGGAAAAGGTATAGAAGGTATAGATCCTTCTTCTTCAATCTATGGGTTAAATAGCAAAGCAGTCTGTGCTCCCTTTACGACTTATCAACACAAATATCTTGGAAAAGGTATAGATCCTTCTCTTCTTGATCTATGGGTTAAATAGCAAAGCAGTTGTGCTCCCTTTACGACTTATCAACACAAATATCCTTGGAAAAGGTATAGATCCTTCTCTTCTTCCAATCTATGGGGACTTATCCTTTAAATATCCTTGGAAAAGGTATAGATCCTTCTCTTCTTCAATCTATGGGTTAAATAGAAAAAAGATCTCTTCTTCAATCTATCTCTGTGGACTTATCAACACAAATATCCTTGGAAAAGGTATAGATCCTTCTCTTCTTCAATCTATGGGTTAAATAGCAAAGCAGTCTGTGCTCCTTTACGACTTATCAACACAAATATCCTTGAAAAAGGTATAGATCCTTCTCTTCTTCAATCTATGGGTTAAATAGCAAAACATGACACTTATCAACACAAATATCCTTGGAAAAGGTATAGATCCTTCTCTTCTTCAATCTATGGGTTAAATAGCAAAGCAGTCTGACTTATCAACACAAATATCCTTGGAAAAGGTATAGATCCTTCTCTTCTTATCTAACAAGCAAACAGTCTGTGCTCCCTTTACGACTTATCAACACAAATATCCTTGTATAGATCCTTCTCTTCTTCAATCTATGGGTTAAATAGCAAAGCAGTCTGTTCCCTTTACGACTTATCAACACAAATATCCTTGGAAAAGGTATAGATCCTTCTCTTCTTCAATCTATGGTTAAATAGCAAAGCAGTCTGTGCTCCTTCACGACTTATCAACACAAATATCCTTGGAAAGGTATAGATCCTTCTCTTCTTCAATCTATGGGTTAAATAGCAAAGCAGTCTGGACTTATCAACACAAATATCCTTGAAAAGGTATAGATCCTTTCTTCTTCAATCTATGGGTTAAATAGCAAAGCAGTCTGTGCTCCTTTACGACTTATCAACACAAATGATCCTTCTCTTCTTCAATCTATGGGTTAAATAAGCAGTCAATCAACACAAATATGAAAAAAAGGTATAGATCCTTCTCTTCTTCAATCTATGGGTTAAATAGCAAAGCAGTCTGTGCTCCCTTTACGACTTATCAACACAAATATCCTTGGAAAAGGTATAGATCCTTCTCTTCTTCAATCTATGGGTTAAATAGCAAAGCAGTCTGTGCTCCTTTATAACTTATCAACACAAATATCCTTGAAAAGGTATAGATCCTTCTCTTCTTCAATCTATGGGTTAAATAGCAAAGCAGTCTGTGCTTTCGACTTATCAACACAAATATCCTTGGAAAAGGTATAGATCCTTTCTTCTTCAATCTATGGGTTAAATAGCAAAGCAGTCTGTGCTCCCCTTTCACTTATCAACACAAATATCCTTGGAAAGGTATAGATCCTTCTCTTCTTCAATCTATGGGTTAAATAGCAAAGCAGTCTGTGCTCCTTTACGACTTATCAACACAAATATCCTTGGAAAAGGTATAGATCCTTCTCTTCTCTTCAATCTATGGGTTAAATAGCAAAGCAGTCTGTGCTCCCAACTTATCAACACAAATATCCTTGGAAAAGGTATAGATCCTTCTCTTCTTCAATCTATGGGTTAAATCTTCAATCTATCCTTGGGGTTAAATAAGTTAAATAGCAAAGCAGTCTGTGCTCGCTTTACGACTTATCAACACAAATATCCTTGGAAAAGGTATAGATCCTTCTCTTCTTCAATCTATGGGTTAAATAGCAAAGCAGTCTGTGCTCCCTTTTAGCTTTTATCAACACAAATATCCTTGGAAAAGGTATAGATCCTTCTCTTATCAATCTACAAATATCCTGTGGAAATATCCTTGGAAAAGGTATAGATCCTTCTCTTCTTCAATCTATGGGTTAAATAGCAAAAAGTGCTCCAGACTTATCAACACAAATATCCTGGAAAAGGTATGATCCTTCTCTTCTTCCCTATGGGTTAAATAGCGACTTATCAACACAAATATCCTTGAAAAGGTCTTATCTATGGGTTAAATAGCAAATCCTTCTCTTCTTCAATCTATGGAAATGGGTTAAATAGCAAAGCAGACTTATCAACACAAATATCCTTGGAAAAGGTATAGATCCTTCTCTTCTTCAATCTATGGGTTAAATAGCAAAGCAGTCTGTGCTCCCTTTACGACTTATCAACACAAATATCCTTGGAAAGGTATAGATCTTCTCTTCTTCAATCTATGGGTTCATAAAGCAGTCTGTGCTCCCTATATCAACACAAATATCCTTGGAAAAATAGATCTTCTCTTCTTCAATCTATGGGTTAAATAGCAAAGCAGTCTGTGCTCCTTTTACGACTTATCAACACAAATATCCTTGGAAAAGGTATAGAAATCTAGGTTAAATAGCAAAGCAGCTCCTTTCGACTTATCAACACCTTGGAAAAGGTATAATCCTTCTCTTCTTCAATCTATGGGTTAAATAGCAAAAGCAGTCTGTGCTCCCTTTACGACTTATCAACACAAATATCCTTGGAAAAGGTATAGATCCTTCTCTTCTTCAATCTATGGGTTAAATAGCAAAGCAGTCTATTGCTCCCTTTACACTTATCAACACAAATATCTGGAAAGGTATAGATCCTTCTCTTCTTCAATCTATGGGTTAAATAGCAAAGCAGTCTATTGCTCCCTTATCAACACAAATATCCTTGGAAAAGGTATAGATCCTTCTCTTCTTCAATCTATGGGTTAAATAGCAAAGCAGTCTGTGCTCCCTTTACGACTTATCAACACAAATATCCTTGGAAAAAGGTATAGATCCTTCTCTTCTTCAATCTATGGGTTAAATAGCAAAAGACTTATCCACAAATATCCTTGGAAAAGGTATAGATCCTTCTCTTCTTCAATCTATGGGTTAAATAGCAAAGCAGTCTGTCCTTCGACTTATCAACACAAATATCCTTGGAAAAGGTATAGATCCTTCTCTTCTTCAATCTATGGGTTAAATAGCAAAGCAGTCTGTGCTCCCTTTACGACTTATCAACACA